CCCCACCAAGAATATTTCTTAAGGAGGGTCTCAATGTTGCTGTCCAATTGGCTTTCCCCCACCAAGAATATTTCTTAAGTTTATGTCACGTTACCATACCTCACTCAATTGGAGCTCCATTGAACCAATCGAAAAGCAATTAAGCGGACACCAACCAATCATATTTCTTGAATCCTTAAGCGACGGTACAATACTACGGTCAAGTGGTTTTGTCTCTAAGCAAAACAAAAGATAGTAAACGCCAACAACAAATCAATAATATCCCTTGACTACGGAAGCCATTTTTGTGTCATGCCTGTGTGTTATTCATGTGTGTCAACAGTAAAACACACGGCAAGCCAATCACATCCCTTGTCTACGAAAGCCATTTGTGTGTCGTAGTCCCTATGATTTTCACATATTATGAATACATATTTTTTCTTCAATAGGCTAGCGCAACCAATGGACCAGTAGTAGAACGAGCTAAAGTCTGGTGTGAAATGATTGATGTACCTTACTATCGATTCAGCTCTGACATGTCAGCTGATGTTGGTTTAGATGAGTCGGATGACAAGATTCTCGTCAAGATGCTGTGGGAGACAAGAGTATATGTTTTGCAGCATTTTAAAGAATTTAAAGAACTTGCAGAAAGGCTAACCGGCTAGATATTGTATAAACTTGGCGTCCAAGGCCCCCCTTTCAATCCCAGGGGGTGTACTCGGGTGGGTAACATGAAGGGGGGTGGGGGGGGGGGGGTCCGACGGAGCTCCGTATTGCAACCCCAAAAAAATACTCAAACCTGAAATTTTACACCCAAAAAAATACATGGCATCCAAATNGTGGGTAACATGAAGGGGGGGGGGGGGGGGGGGGTCCGACGGAGCTCCGTATTGCAACCCCAAAAAAATACTCAAACCTGAAATTTTACACCCAAAAAAATACATGGCATCCAAATTTCTGACCCAAAAAAATACAAGACTTAAATACTTCAAAACTGGAGAGCCTTCTAATGATCCACGAGGCCGTTGGCGTGTGAGAGGAGGAATTAATGTCCCCGTTGAGGTCACATTCAAGACGAGCAGAATCCAAGCCAAATAGATCAAGCGCGCTCTTAAGCATAAGGGCTTACACGTGCAAGTAATATGATGAAGCGATAAAGTGACATGAACGATTGAGGTGTGGCAATAAATTAACGTGGAACCTATGAAAAGTAAACAAGATTACATATTACAAATAACGTTGTATAGTTTTTTATTGTTATCAGTATGTTTCTTTACGGAACTCACGCGTTGCTGAAAAAAAAAAATCAAACAAATAATTTGCTGATACAAAAATCGAACTCAGAGATGTGACGACCCAAAAAATACGGGTTTAATTTCGAGACCTTAAAAAATACGTGGCTGGTCTCTTGACCCAAAAAAATACCGGGAACGAAAATTGTCAACCAGAAAAAATACGTCGGACCTCCCCGTCATGTTACACACCCGAGTACACCCCCTGGGCTTTCAATAGCGTGACTTTACATTGAAAAGAGCTCGAACCTTTAGCACAAAGCATGATGGGAAACCGAGTATTTGCGCCTCTCTAAAAATTAATCTAGCAGTTTTTCCTTCAACATTTTCTAGGTAAAAATAAGCATTTTAACAAAGCAAAATGACAGTATCCTTCATGGCAATTCTTTTGAATGTCCTGTTCCATTTTCGCAGTAGTCGGTTTCCCGAAGTAAAAAATTAATAAAAATAAATAAATGAAAAATGAAAAAAAAAAGATTAAAAAGTGATTTTCAAGAAGAATTTGAGAAGAATTTGAGAAAAAAATGAAAAATGAGAAAATGCAACTGGATTGAAAGAGTACTTGGCGGTCAGCGCAAAGCGTTTGCTCATGCGTAACATGTTATTGTATCCGGTTACCAAGGGTAACGAGCAAGATAAACTGCAGAGTAGAAACTGCAGCAGGAATCCTGTCAAAATACTCTTATTTTTATACTGATTTTGCAGCCTTTTTCATACTTATTCGCCACTATGAACTCTAGGATGTCTACGGAAGAGAATGACGACATTTCAAAGCTCGAATTGCTGTCAGTTGTCGGGTTTGCAGGTAAGAAAATTGGATTCAAACATCGAGTCTCGATACTCAGTCAGTTGTCTCGTATTTTTTTAAAAAAGGTTAGGTTTTAATTTGCCTAGAACTTTTGTAGAAAATTAAAACTTCCTTCACTAAACTTCGTTTTAAGTATTCTTAGTCAAGTGTGAAGAAGAATATTAAATTATCTGGTCTTTTAACTGTAGATTTTGAAGTCATCTCAGCTGTTTATTAGCTGATGAAAATCTACGTTACTTATATATGTATTACTTTAAGATGTAAAATATTCACGCTTGTATAGAATAGACAAAAATAAACCATCTATGAAGTCAAGAGTTCGTCATTTTTGTTGAAAAAAACTTGGTTAAATCGCAATTAATGAGTTTTATATGGACTACCCATTTGCTTGGCAAGTAAACTCAAATAAGTCTTGAGGTAAGATCCTTCTCATTCATGATGACATTAATCTTTCATTTAGGAGCAGTCCCAAATGGACTTCTTGTACATCCAGATCGCCAGCATTTAATTTATGCCCTCGGAAGCACAGTTATTGTTGAAAATCTGGAAACCAAATCCCAAATGTGTCTGTCTGGACATACAGATGAAGTTACATGTATTGCTGTATCAAAGAGTGGGCGGTACTTAGCGTCTGGTCAGAAGACACACATGGGGTTCAAAGCTGATATAATTGTTTGGGATTATGAAGAGCGCAAACTGTATTTAAGGTTGACGCTTCATAAAGTCAAGGTCGAAGCCTTGGCATTTTCACCTAACGACATGTATCTTGTGTCGCTTGGTGGACAAGATGATGGCAGGTTTGTAGCCTTTTGACATCTTATCAATTACAGTATCCTGGTCAAATCCATTGAAGAAAATCAAATGTTCGACATTTGCCTTGCAATTTATAGAATTAACTTAAATGCCTTGACAAACAATATTTGTTTCAAGTGAAGGCATTTAAGTTAATACCATTTTTTAAACACTCTATTGCCTTCAGACAATTATTGTCTTAAGGTGACTGCCTACTTTTGGAAATTGATTTAAGCTTTTTTTAAAACTTCGATTTTCCGAATTGAAATTTAATGCTGATTCCAAATCTGGAAAGAAAAATAGGGTGTCCCGAGCTCGTTTTCGAGATAATCAGCATTTAATGGAAGCCTACGCACGAGCTTTTGGAGTAAAAATTGCGCCCCCGGAAGTGATTAGAAAAAAATTAAGATTAATAAGATAATAGTTATTTGCAGACTATATGATTGCACGAACGAAGGCTAGTCAATCCTTCTACAATAATACATGGATATTTTTGACAAAAAGACAGCGAGATACGTTGATTTGTCATATTTTGTAGTTTCGGTGCTCTTAAAAAATCTCATAAAGTCGAACAAAAATCCCTACAAAAATCTATTTTTTCACGTGTTCCTGATTTAAACTTTTCCTAAAATGTTGATATAACCTAGATTTTTAGGAGCTTTTTCGAATGAGCTATCAAAAAATATAGAGTCCCGTGCAAAATTTGAGGGTTTTGCCCTGTTGAAGCTCAAAACGCGTATGGTCCTTCAATAAAATCTTGTAGATTTTTCAGCGGTTTTTGAGCGCGCGCACATCGTGGGCTCAAATCGAACGTTCAAAAGTAGGCAGCCACCTTAAGGCAATACAGTGTAGCTCTAATATCAGCTATTGTATTTTTCTAGCCTTTCTTCCTGAAATATTTACAAAAATGTATGATTCACACTAAATGAATAACCTACTTACTTCTATTCGTAGTGTTGTACTGTGGGACCTTGAAAAGAAAGAGGCCGTATGTGGCAGCCCTGCGGCAGTACCAAGTGCTGGAACAACAAATGCTGTTGCCTTTGCCAACCACAATGATAAACTCTTTTTTACTGGTGGAAAGTAAGTGAATTATTTGCTATTTGTCTTTTAATTCCAAGAAAGATTACCCATTCCTTATACCCAAGTAACCCTAAATTGTTTACTCTTAAAGGTTACAAAGTATATGCCAGCATCAGATGTTACCACACCCCAATTTTGCCTTCTTATTTCCCTCCCCTTTCTTCCCCACCCCTCCCCCTTTAGTAGTTAGGATAGATACTGTATACTGCTATGACTAACCTTTTTATGATTTTGTGTATAATACAACATGTCTTAAACAAACCACCTTCTTGTGCTTGCAGTAAGACTTTAAGAATCTGGTCGGTAGATCTGGAAAATCGAAAGATTCGGCCAACAGATTGCAACATGGGTCAACTGAAAAGAATAGTCCACTGTATCCAGGTAATGATCCTACTGGTTGCACCATACTTGAAGGATTGTTTTGATCAAATTGCAAATTCTGATAAGAACACACTTACGTCACTTTAGTTATAAGCTTGGGCCAGTCTATATAGTTAACACTATTTTAAATGTAATTCAAGGTTGCAGATGATGATCAGCATTTCTTTTGTGGGACGTCTAGTGGAGACATCTTAAAGGTAATATATTAATATTAAACTTAACCTACTTACCTTGGGTTACCTGTGTTGCAGGGACATTGCCAAGAGGGCCGAGGCCCCGCCATTCTCACGCTGTAGAAAACAAAACATTTAAAAGTCACATGATATATTTGTTAGACTTACTGATGTTCTGAAAACAGGTTCCCCCCCCCACCAAGCAAAATCCTGGCTATGCCCCTTTGATTGGCTTAGCAGTGCATTCCATGCAAAGATTCATTTCTTTTGCAGGTCATTGTAAAAAGCCATCTTTTGAAGGAGCATGGCCCAGCAAAGGACAAATTCAGCCAGGGTGTTAAGACAATACAGATCTTGAAGACTGGAGATTTGCTGATTGGTTGTGGAAATGGAACAGTAGCTATTGTCAAAGATAGTGACAAAAAAGAAAAGCTCTTCCGAAAAACTAAGTAAGTAATAATTTTTATTTTTTCCCCGCCTGGTATCCTAAAAAATAGTGCATTTTGATTGGCTGTTTGAGTGGGCGGTATTTTGTTAGTATCCGGTGTCCTTTGCTGCTAAACAAGTAAAAAAATTCGGGAAAAAAAATAATAAGTTAGTTACCGTCCTATAGTCGATCTGGGTAGGAAAAAATCTGAAAAACTATAGAATTAGGAATAGTAATTTCACTCCTACACTGTAACATTTACTTTTAGTTTCTAATGATTTAATAATAATTTATTCTATGTTAAATTTTCATTTTTAACCAGGTCTGCAAAAGTAGAAGGGGGAGTTAGTTCCATTGCTCTCAGAGGAAATGGCCATCAGGTATTGTCATAATCATCATTATTATCATCTTAATCACAATCACAATCACTACCACAGCATCACCATCACAACCACCTTCAATTCAAATTTAAAAACCCGTTCTCCCCAAGTATGTAACCCTTGCTTACATTACCACACAGATTCTTCATGCCTCCAAAGGTATACACTCCACCAACAAGACAGTTTAACTTCTCCTGCAGTGACAATTTCACTGGCCTGAGTGTCATCAGTGTACAGTACTTTGATTCTTTATCAATTTTATATTAATGCTATTAATACTTTTTTTAATCCACTTCAGTTCTTTATTGGCACCACTTGTTCTTATATGTACAAGTTCAATTATGATGACTTCACTTTTGAAAGAGTCAACATGTGTCATTATGGTTGCGTCAATGACATTGTCTTCCCTTAGTAAGTATACTGTGTGTTTATCAGTCATTTTGCTTCTGTGTAGATCATTCAAGAATCTAATTTTTTTCTATGTACTGATAATAGTGATTAATGTACCAAACATTAACAAAAACACTCTTTAGTAATTACTAGTTGTTGGGTTACCTGTGTAAGTGCCTGCCTTAGGTCAGCGGAATCTCACGTTTTGTAACGACGGCCATGTTTGTGTAAGC